ATGACAGATGGATGGATGGATGGATGGATGGTTAATTGGATGGAAGGATGGATGGACAGAAAGATGGATGGATGGATGGAAGGAAGGATGGATGACAGATGGATGGATGGATGGATGGATGGTTAATTGGATGGAAGGATGGATGGACAGAAAGATGGATCGATTGATGGATGGATGGTTAATTGGATGGATGGACAGAAAATGGATGGATGGATGGTTAATTGGATGGAAGGATGGATGGACAGAAAGACGGATGGATGGATGGATGGATGGATGGAAGGATGGATGGATGGTTAATTGGATGGCTGGATTGGATTGGATGATTTGTTCCGAGCACAGGTGTGGCAGGCCAAAACGTACTCCCTGACGTTGCGGTACATGAAGGGCCACCAATAGGTTCGACGTAAGAGTGCCAGAGTTCTCCCAACCCCTGGGTGGATGGAGAACTTTGCTGTGTGGATCCAGTGTATTAGAGACCCCCTGCAAGAAACTGGAACATATGTCTTATTGGGGTCACAGTACCTGACCCGGGGTCGTTCTTGCGGGCCTCCTCAATCCTTTCTTGGATTTCCCAGCTTACGGTCCCAATGATGACTGAGGGAGGAAGGGTGGTTGTGGGCTCTGTGTTGGTATCTGAAGAGAACTGCCTGGATAATGCATCGGGTTTAGTGTTTTTGGATCTGGGTCTGAAAGAAATCACAAAGTTGAATCTGGAAAAGAACGGAGACCACCTGGACTGGTGAGGGTTAAGCCTCTTGGCTGCCTTTAGATACGAAAGATTCATGTGATCTGTCCAGACTATGACCGGGTGCTCGAAACCCTCCAACCAATGTCTCCATTCTTCGAAAGCAATCTTGATGGACAGCAGTTCACGGTCTCCGTTCTGTGGGCGTCAGGTGACGGGAGAAAAAGGCACAAGGGTGCAACTTGTTGTCTGAGGGGCAGGTCTGTGATAAGACAGCTCCATCCCCGGGTCCCCGCAGACCAAGTCCTGATAATATCCGGCTTAACAAGTCACTTGGTAAAATTTACGTTCCTGGGAGAAAATGTAGGAGTTAACCAGAATGCTCAAACTGCGGGCCAGTTTCAAATTCCCCTTTTTATTTTCTTCTGCTAAATGTGAGAGGAAAAACTTTGTGAAGATAGTTATGTTCTCCTTCGTGTGAATGCAAAGTTAATCTAAGGATATAAAATGTGGATTTCCGCTACACAAATATTCCATTTGACATGCTTCAAGTGCAACGAGACCATGGTCTGCTGCTAAAACATGAAATAAAACAACATAATTATGAGGCTGAAATGTCAGACTCTTGTTATAAAAGGCTCAATAGGGAGCCTAATGGGCCATTCCCATCTGTACCGGGTCGGCCCGGGCCGGGTAGCGTAGGTTGTTTACATATCTGGGTGGCCTGGTATTTTTCCGGGCCAACCAAGGCTCATTCTCAGCCCTCTTCTCGAGGGGGTCTGCTTCAGGCCGACCAGGGCCAACACACCCACTGCTGACAGCAAATTCACACCTTCCATTAGAGCAAGCCTCTGATTGGTGGGTAGAATCAGCCCACATGGGCTTAAGACAAGGATGTGTGGAATCAACCGGGCCAGGCTGGGGCCGACTGGGGCTACCCAGCCCGGGCCGACCCGGTACAGATGGGAATGGCCCATAAGTCTCCTCCCTTTCTGGTCGTCATGGTTCCCTGAACGGGGCTAAAAGAGTTGTTTTCTAACCCGCTTTGCCTTATGCCCTGGATCGCATATATGTTGTACTTATATTTAAATGAAAAGTAATGATGTGTGTTTTGACCACGCCAGTCACGTACTTTGAGATTTATCAGCTTGTAAAAGTTTGCTGTTAGCATGACTCCTAGCGTAGCTGCTACGTACCACATGACCAGATTTATGGTGGTTCTTTCCTCCTGAAGGAAGGATTTGAAGTTTGCTGAACTTACAGCTCTTTTCTCCCAGTTTTCTCCATGTCTGGTTCAATGACGTCACTTTTCCTGAAGCGCATTTGTAGTCCTGGAGTTATTTTCACAAAAAAACTAAAATATCGTTCCCCCCGTTCAAAAATAAGCACGTTCTTGGTATCAAAATGCATGTTTAAAATTCAAGGACATCATGTGTGAAATCCATGGTACATAACAAGTGGAATTAGAAAACAGCGTTTTTGCCCCATTGGTCCAGAAGTAGATGGGCGTGATTTAGGCTCCCTATAATATGTATTAAACTGGTGTTGTATAGTTCCCTCTTTCCTATCTGATATTTATAGTTAGATACTTTATAAAATAGATTACCTACATTTCAGTAACATTTTAGGTTTGTATTAATATCACTCATCTTAGTCAAAAGAACACATAAATATAGCCACAGTTAAAATACGATTAGTAGAATTTATTGTACTTCATTAACATGTTCGGTGGTACTGCAAATGCTAACATTTAATTTCTACTACTAAAAATGTAATGGTGACATATGTATTATGTACAGGTTAGCAATAATCTGTTTTTAATTCTGTTAGAAGACAGACACGTTGGTGAATTAAATGCTACTGTCATGTTCTGTGTCCCCTTGGTCCCCAGCCCCCTCCTGTTCTCCCTCAGGTTCTCCTCATGTGTCTTCTTGTGTTCCCTAGCTCCCTCTAGGCTTTCCTCATGTTTTTCTCCTAGCCACTCCCTTGTAATTCCCATTTGTTTACATTAGTCCTCCTCACCCCTCTAGTTAATAGTTGTTTATTTCTGCACTTAGTTCTAGGTTTAGTTATTTAGTGTCTTAAAGGTTATGGTTATCTTCCCCTCTGCTTGGTCCTTCCCTTCCCATTTAGTTATTTGATTCCACCTGTCCTTCTAGACCTCACTCCTCACACCTGTCTCCTGATCCCCTGATTGCTTCCCTCTGTGTTAAAAACCCTGTCTTGTCCCTCAGTGTTGGTTGGTTCATTGTCGTATGTGCCTGCATTATTCATTCCCCTCTCGAGTCTCTCTGAGTCTGTGCTCATGTGTGAGCTTTTGTTTGGTTTTGAGCATTCAGTGAGTTTTTGAGGTTTAATCTTTTTTTTTTTGTGCCTTGGATTTTGGCACATCCTCCTTTAATAAAGGAATTATTTTCTTTAAACTACGCCTGCCTTGAGTCGTTCTGGTGTTCTGCGTTTTTGGGTTCAACCTCCTACACTCAACGTGACAGCTACAGTGGCTTGCCATAATTCTGCTGCAGCGTATGGAGCAGACTCGAGTCAGCAACCTGACGTCTGCGGTTCTGCTACATAACGCTGCAGACAGCTAAGAATAAACAGGATGATGGGACTTTTATTCCACTTGTTGAGTTTAGACGTTCTTAGTTTTGCAACTTTTTTTTTTTCAGAACCCCGCTTTATCGTGAGCCTGCTACCTGCTAGCATTAGCTAATCTGCCCGTAGTTACACTTTTCATCCCAAACTTTGGACCATCTCTGCCTTTGTGTCTTTACTGGTTTCTCTCAGCACCTACTTTAGTGCATTCCTTACAAAATAACAAGAAATTTTCCTTGGCTCAATAAAGATCTGGAGAAAAAGTAACTCCAAAGGATGTTGCATAAGTGCTACGTCTAAAAATAGTTTATGGCACAGATTTTTTTTTATGTCACACGTGCAACATATATGTCACAATGTATAGCCCTGTCTTATATGAAAAAAATGCAATGTGTACTGTCATTTCAGATGTCATTTTGGAGGTCTGAAACTTCGCATCACCATTTGAAAAGTACTAAATTTATTGGAAAACATCAAAAAGCGTGAGCAGCCGAAGGCTTTGGTGGTCGTCTGTGTGAAGTTTTGTGTGCCTATCTTTAATTTTGTGGGAGATTTGACATGAAATGTTCACATTTCACGCTGTGTGAATGTTTGAATGTTCAACTGGAAAGTAAACGTTCCAGTTGAACATGCTTATCAGTGCGATTAGTTAAAGCATTCTTTCGTAAGGAAGCCAGCAGATTGCGTGGAGTCACTGATTAGTTGTGCCTGTCTTTATAATAATCTCCACATTAAGCATGTTCATTTGACAGACCATTTGCCGCTATGGCCCCCACATGCTGGAATCTTCGTCCCCTGAACATGTGACGAGTGGACCCAGTGGTTTAATAAAGCAGCTGAAAACTCACTCAGACTGGTTTGATGTGACCGACTGCTGGTTCTGTTCACTCTTCTTGAGTACATTCAGCTGTAATGATTCTGCATTTCATGGGACCCCGTTTGACCTTAGCTTTTTCATTTTAGTCTTTCTCATTTTTAATAGAAAATTTTCCATTTTCCCTATTTCTTTTTTATTATGATTTTTTTTATTATTTTACACATGTATTTTCTTTATCATTAAAACATTTTTTTTGCCTCGTGAACTTTATTTTACGGTGTAACAGTAGGTAAAATTTTGCTTTTTCTTCTAATTGGATACAACTCAAACGGTAAATTAGTCAAAATGGTGGTAATGTTTCTGCCAGTGTTTTACACATATTTGTTAATTATTTTAATAACTTCTACTTGATGTAGAAGGTGAACATTTTTGCTGCTTTTCCAGAATTTAAGAGGGATGGCCCGTCTTTGCTGCTGGTGTTGAAGTGGGGCGGGGAGCTGACTCCTGCTGGCCGGGTTCAAGCTGAAGAGCTGGGCAGGGCCTTCCGTTGCATGTACCCAGGGGGTCAAGGTACCGAACACACACACACACACACGCACACGCACACACACACACACACACACACACACACACACACACACACACACACACACACACAAGCACTAAATCCATTTCTTCACAAACATCAGCTCAACTTAGAAGCATTTTCTGATGCTGGTGCTACATTAGGTTCAGACTTTAAAAGCAAAGACACATCTGTGGACATGTTTATATTTTCTGTCTGTCAGAAGCATTCCTTTACTCACTTTCAATGCTTGTTGTGTACAGCTTCACCCACATTGTCCAAGTTATCATTATGTGAACCAGTTATGGTTTAAAGCTCTAGTTAGTGATGCATGTGAACCTAAACTGATGCTGCACCTACTCTGGTTCTCTGTGCTTAATTTAAATCTTTGGTATTTTAGCTAATCAAGTCCTTCCTCAGTAAGAAATGACATGTCTCAGCGTTAACAGCCACCCTCTGTACATACCTACAGGTGACTATGCTGGGTTTCCTGGCTGTGGCCTGCTGCGCCTTCACAGCACCTACCGCCATGATCTAAAGATCTACGCCTCTGATGAAGGCAGAGTACAGATGACAGCCGCAGCATTCGCCAAGGTCGGACCTTTGTAAAAGTGTTGCTTCCAACTTTTTAACCTTTGGGACATAATGTTTGAATGCTGCATCAGAAAACAGCATTCAAACTATAGTATTCCTGTTTCTCCATTTGTTTGAATGTTGTTTCTGGCTGAACTGGTTTTAGCCGGTTATGCGTGGCTCTATTGAGCTATGGCCTGGAACAGTACCTAAGATTTTGCATTGTCGTCATGAATCAGCTCAACTACTTGTTTGTGTAGGATGAAAAAACACTAGTTGTACGTGACTGAAAGCATGAGGCAGGATTTGTACAAAATCCAGAACAAAATAGGATGCATGTTGGTTCTTGTGAAGCTAACGGGTGATGGAGCGTTATAAAACAAAGAATGAGGCCACCCATGTGTCATTCCATTATCCTGAACAGACTGCTGCAAAATGCACTGCAGTTCGGCCCGCGTTTCTCTCGCTGTCCTATGGATGTGACGTCAAATGACACAGCTTACACGTTCTCGACAAAAGTTTCAAAACCAGAAGAAAATGTTGTCCGCACTCCAGATCGGTAGGTGGTGCTAGTGCGCGATAAAACCGCAACTAGTAGAAGAAGAAGAAGTATGTGGAGGTATTCTACCGCAACAGACACAAAGAGGATGCAGGTTTTATCGGCGGCATCGAGAGTCAAAACGAAAGGGACCCAATTTTATTTTGGTTAAGCGATGGATGGATGCTGACATTGATCCTTTCCTACCAGGTAAGAACATCTCAACATATCAGAGCTGCATGTCTGCGATTTAGGCAAACTAAATAACACCTATGGATTTAGTTATTACTACTTTAGGTTATCTAATGTCTTTGTGCAGAAGTACGATAAAGTAACATCTGAAAGCTAACGGTGTTTAGTGTAAAGCAGTTAGCAGAGTTTGATTTACCCAGCGGTTGGTCCAAGACTCCCAAACGAATCTCCAGGATTGAAAAGGAGGAAATAAATCCATAAACAGAGTGTCTGTTTCAACGGGCCTTCACTGGTGGTAGCACACACTGATTGCCACTACAAAACACCAATGCTCCCTTTTATTGGTCATTTTACGGGGTCAAAGTTCAACTTCCTCTACAGTTACTTTTCAGAATAAAGGCATATATATATATATATATATATATATATATGTATATATATATATGTATATATATATATACATTCTTATTTACATATTTACACAAATGCATAACATAACAGAGCATATTAGTCTGATGCTTAACAAAAGCTTCCAGTTTAGAAACATCTATCGAGGCTGCTCTTCTCACAGCTGAAGCGCTAAGCTGTCTCTTCTACGTTTTACAGGTTAACGTTGAAGGATCTCCAGGACACCGCTCGTCTTTAGAGATGAACGGATGCTACGTTTATTCTGACGAGAATAAACACAGCTTGGCACGATGACTCAGAGAGCTAGTGTGCAGTAGCATTGTAGCTGTTATGCTAAAGCAGTAGCATTAGCTGTGTTCATCCTACAGCTGCTGTACCACTGAATGTTTTAGACTGGATATTTCCCAAACCGAACACCAGAGTCATTATTAGAATGATGTCATCTTTGACCTACAGCCCAACCTGTAAGCAGGGCTCATACTTTAGCAGGTATGTTGTGTAACAGAGCTAAAGGTGTAGCATCTGTTCTGTTACCCATTGGGACGTCCGTTCGTCTTGTGGGCCTACAAACACCTGCCCACCTGGACCAAAGACAGTAAGTAAGTAAGTTTTATTTCTATAGCACTTATCACAGACATAGAATCACAAAGTGCTTCACATAGAAGAAAGATGTGTTTATTTAGTGGATCTCGACGATATGCACAGCATCTAAGAAGCCAACGAAGGATTAGGATTAGTTCAGCCTGAAGGGGAAAAGAAACTCCAGAGGGAACATGATCTGTTGCCATAACTACACAAAGATGTGCACCAATTTGTGTGTGTTTATGTTTGCAAATCTGTTCTGTGTTACGTTGTGTGTAGGGCAGAATGGTTTATGTTTGTGAAAATGATAAAATGACCCAGCCCGACCGTCATGCTCTCCACTGCTTACCTACTTCCCAGATCCCTCTCCCATGAACCACCTCAGTGAAACCCTGTGTTTGGACTCTCTCCTGCCTGCCACCACCCTCAGACTGGACCACCCTCATGAGCGCCATGCCTTCAGAGACAGTCAGGACCCCGCCTCCAGTTATGCTCCACCTTTCCCTCCTTCAGGTTGCTAACGGGACTCTGTGTTGCAGAAGCCTTCTGAGTGAAGCTGACCCATTCGCCTCGCGTCGGTGGTGCACCTTTAGTTCTCCTTTTTACATAATAAACTATTATCTGGGTTCTTACGTGTCCTGAGGTCTGATTCTGTGTCCTGCAGCAGGAACTGAAACCCCAACATGACAGACAGGAACAACTTCTTTCCTAAACATTGTTTTATTAGGAATGTAATAAACATAAAATTATGTACAAATGCCAAAGTATGTTGAACTTTGAATATAAATAAAAATAAATATAATGCACAAACTTTTTTTTAGTTTTGTGTGGAAAAAGACTAATAACTAATTCAGCTAATAACTTATTGTGAGGTATCGTGGTTGTTGTGAGCTTTTGTGATAATAGATTAAACATTTAGAAATGTTAGTCTGTCACCCTAAATGGAGCTTCTCTTTAGGCAGTGGCATTTACAAATGGTTCAGGGAATTTTTCACGTATCCAAAGAACGCAGCAGCTTGGTGTTGGCCTCCGATTCCCTCTTCCCAGATGCTCACGTTGCCAGATTGTGAACTCACGGTAGGCAGGAAACAGAAACTGTCTCTGCTGCCCTCGATCAGGAAGATGGGGTCCTGTTGTCTCTTGCTGGAACTCCAGGATGTCAAGCATCGCCCCAGGTAGACAGGTCACCTGTCGTCTCTCTCCTCCTGGCTCAGATGTTGTAAAGCTGTTTAGAAATGAATCAGGAACATTTGTTTCTGATTTCTGACACACAAAATGATGAACCTTCTGGACTGGAAAAGTAAAGGAATCCTATACCTGGAACACATATATGAAGGATTGGACTTCATCCCATTTAAAAGAATAGTCTCCCAATTTGGAATAGATAAGAATAGCTTTTTAGAATACCACCAAATAAAATCTGTAGTTAAACAAACATTTAAGTACAATAAAAAAGAATTACAAACACCACCAAGGGTATTAGACTTCTATAATCTCAAACCCCCCAAACTGCTGTCTAAAGTATATAAGACACTGTCCAAAATAGACGATAGAATAGCAATCCCTATTGAAAATGGGAGGTTGATCTATCAGTCAGCTTTGACCAGAACTTCTGGTCCCAAACTTGTTTAAAACTTTTAGAATGATCAGACATCCCAATTTACAATTAATTCAGTACAAAATTCTACACAGAGTACACTATACAGGTCATCGGATGTTCAAGATGGGGTTTGTGTCGTCTGACACCTGTACACACTGCACAAACAACATTCCTGACAATTACATTCACGCACTGTGGTCCTGTCCACCTGTCCAGGAATTTTGGGGTAGAGTGTGTGAAGACCTGTCAAAGTGTCTGAAATGTCATATCCCAACCGCCCCCTCTCTTTGTTTACTGGGAAACCTGGACGATGTCCTGATTGAAACATCGTTGGTTCACGTGGTTCTGACTGCCATATGCATTGCTAAGAAAACTATCCTCGTGAACTGGAAAAATAGAGATACTCTTTGCATTAACCAGTATAGAAATATTTTGTTAGATCATATTACACTTGATACAGCCTCTGCTTCCACTTCAAATCAATCTCTCTGGGCTCCTTTGATCGGTTCCATCACATAGCGATGATGGGGGGTCATTGATATTGTCCTGCTCCTGGATCTCTAGGACTTGGAGCTCCCTCCATCTCCTACACATCTTTAGGGGGCAGATCTGTGGCCCCTCACACTCTCTATTGAACGCTCCTATAGAGCTCCGGAAGTTGACGTCACTTCTCCCGGCATGCAACAACTCAAATTGAAACAGCACCATCTTGGCAGGCAGAAGCCCGCATCTAGGCTATTTGTTATTGTCCGAAAACTCAATCAAATGGGAAATATGGTAGATTCCTGTTGTGCCCCAGGATGCAGAACAGACGCGGACGAGATAAGGAATGAGCCTTCTACAGGATTGCCTAAGATCCGGAATGCCGCAAACGTTGGATCATTGTAATAAAACGCGCTAGTGACCGGGCTAAAATGAAACTGTGGGATCACGACAGTAAAGATTTTCGCTTATGCAGCGACCGCTTCATATCAGGTACTTAAACCAGCGTTTCCTCAACTGTGTATGGTATTTATTTTAAATGTGTTTATTACGATTCTTAGTGAGCTTCCTAAACTTATTTTGGCGTGGCTTTTTCTGTCTTTTTACTCATAGCAACAAGTAAACAACACGTAAAAAGTAGCCTTGTGAGTTCTGCGTGCTGCCGTTTACGTGTTTTATGATCACAGCAATTAACCGGCTAAGCTGTATTTAATTTTTAAGCAATGGTTGATCAATTGTCAGATCACACATAAAAAGCACTTTGGATTGCTATTATCTGTCTCACCGAGACAGATCCTGAGACGCTCCTGCCTGACATATTTATTTTATTCATGGAAAAAAATCTGACTAATGATTTCTCTTGGCGTTCAGTTTATACATTCAAACAGCACAGCACTCTATTTAAACTACTTACATGTAAATCTATGTTATTTGTTTTTGTTTAATCAGTTTTATAAATTATAAATGTCAAGGCATCTCATATCCGGTAAGAGGGCCGCTCCGACAACTTCTGGCGTTTTAAAAAGTATCCCAGGGGCACGGTAAGGGTCGGAGATGTTTAGTCTATTTAATTTCTGACTATATAAAATGATTTCTTCTGTTTTAACCCTTACCCAGCGTTTACATTTTCTAACGTTAATGTCATTTAACCAGCTCAGTGGCCTAGTGGTAGAATGTCCGCCCTGAGACTGGGAGATCAGAGTTCAATTCCTGGTCGGGTCATACCAAAGACTTTGAAAAAATGGGACCCAATGCCTCCCTGCTTGACACTCAGCATTAAGGGGTTGGATTGCAGGGTTAAACCTCCAAATGGTTCCCGAGCGCAGCTGTGTCTGCAGCTCACCGCTCCCCCAGGGGATGGGTCAAATGTGGAGAACAAATTTCGCACACACATCAGTGTGTGTGAAAACTAATGTGACTTTAACTTTAACTTTAGTTGAGCACACAAAAATGCACTTACAAAGCTTCCCATAGAAATATATAATATTTCATAAGTCCCAATTTTTTTACATGAATTTCATCCTTGGCTTCAGCCCTAACAAAATATAATAAAATATGTGTTTGTCAAATTTAACCCCTTCATTGCCAGGTTTAATATCAAAACCAGAAGTTTGAAAACTGTACAAAAAATGAAAAAAGTCAATTCATTTTTTGTGTGTTATGTCCAGATGACCTTTTTTGTGGGTAAGTTGTCACATACTTTGAGTGTCACAAATAGGCATAAAAATATTTTTTGCTCACTTTGTAGTTTTTGTGTGATGTCATATTTTCTAAAATATGCACGTTAAAGTCATTTGAGCACAAAAAATGCGTTTAAAAGATGGCAAGTTGAACACTTTATTAAAGCACATGAACAAAGAAAAAGTGTGCGTTTACGTGAGAGAGAGAGAGACAGAGAGAGAGAGAGAGAGAGAGAGAGAGAGAGAGAGAGAGAGAGAGAGAGAGAGAGAGAGAGAGAGAGAGAGAGAGAAACAGAGGGGAGTGAGCTAACAGCTGCAGGTTAAGCACACTGATGTGTGCTCCTCGCATACTGCCTGTCCACATTTTCTGCAAAAGCAAGCATGCAAGCCTCTGCTTCGGTATGTAGGACACCGCGGTGGTGGTGGAGGTGAAGGCAAAGAGGGAGGACAGAACCGCTATGCTTCTCATCTGCTGCAGCTGTGGGTGCAGCTCTGGCTTGTTGCGTCTAACTGTTCCCACAAAACACATTTTATTTTGGAGCAGCTCTTCTCCAAGGGCTAGTGATGTGAAAAAATTGTCCGTGGTGATAGTGCGGCCACTCAGTCCCTCGGTGAGCTCGGTGCCGGGGTGTCTTGCGTCATCTTGCACAGGTAGGGAATAATCCCCCAGGCATAAGAGGCCACATCGCACACCACCCACAGCTTGATGCCATAGTTTGTCGGCTTTGAGGGCATATACTACTTGGAAGTTGCAGCGACCTCTGAATCTGACGAGCTTTTCATCCACACACACATCTTCACCGGGGTTTTAGGTGAGAGGGAGCCAGCCCACCCGGAAGTCCCACACCTTCTGGAGGGGAGCGAGCTTGTACTGCTGCACCAACCGGCGTGCTGCCCTCAAGCGGTCATCAAACCGCACTGTTGCCGTCAGCAAATGGAACCTTCGCAGCCTCATTGTGGCTCTGAAAATCAGCCTCTCCGTTTCCTTCCCCTAGAGGCTTGTAGTAGATTCCCCCAGGAACGGAGCACCCCCAGCGGGGACGAGCAGCCCAAGGATTGCGCGGGGTTCCACGTTGTCAACATCCGTCCAGCTGTCATACTTTCTCCTCCCCTCTATATTAGTGTGTTTAATTATTATATCAAGGATTGTTATTGTTAAAAAATAAATAAATCGAAGCTGTCCGCGAAGCGGGTGATCCCTCGACGGTGAAAGTGTGAGGCCGACAGAGAATCCTGATTTCAGGTGTTGATCTGCGTTCAAACTTCTTCTCATGCTTGCGGCAGAAAGAAATTAATCCGGATTGGAGCCTCATATGTACTTTTAGTCAATTGATGCACCTGTGTAAACTGACCCCAACTCCATGTAAACAAACTCAGCTCTGCAGGAATTTGTTTTGCAAAACTAATGTACACCTTTGAAGTTTTTCAGCCTTCATCTTAATTTTCATCCATGTAAATGCTTTGTGCTTGTTGAAACAACAATTTGCAAAAGTAAAATTGCGAGTGAGTATCTGAAATTTTGCAGAAAATTCTTTGTTTTTTATATATAGCATGCCTTTGATGAATATTCATGATTTCAACAGTGTGCATGAGAACCTCCCCCCCCCCCCCCACACACACACACACTCACTCCCCTTGCCCACACCTGCACAACCACTCCAAATAATGATCACAGATCTGTCTTTTGAAGATTTGCAAAGTGCTTAGATCCCTGCATGCATGCATGCACAAGCACACACAGAGTGACACATGTCAAAATGCCATTTTGAGAATGAGCAGATTTTCTACTTTCAGTAAAGGCTTATTTTTTTAAGGCACACTGTAAAAACACAATTACCAAAAATTCAGAACACACACATGCAAACTATTGTATGGAATCTCTAAATAACACACAAACCCTTTTTTTTTTGCAAAATATGTATTATAATGGACAGGCAGAGGATAAATAAATACAGCAAAATCATTAAATTCAAATGCAGTGTCAGTCATTGCCCTTTTATATATGGAGAAAATATGCCATCTAGTGGAAAACGGTAAAAACTGAACATTGAATGTATGACTGGTCTGGGAACACAGACAGAATTGTATATATATATATATATATATATATATATATATATATATATATATATATATATATATATATATATATATATAAATTATGCTAATATTTATGCGTATTATAAAAATATGAATTACATGGAAGTCAATGGCGTAAAAAATGCAGAAAGATGCTTAACACTACTAAACAAATTCTGCATTATAATAAATGGAGTTGAAGATTTTTTCTAACTATTTTTAGTAATTCCTTCAAAAATACACATCCTGCCCAAAAATTAGATAAATTGCATTAACATACCCAAAGTTATTCACAAAAATGCACGTGTCAGCACAAAAATATGCTTTAATGTGAGGTAAGGGTTAAAGTGTGAAGCTGTGAAGGTTCTTTTCCTAGACATACCTGTTCTTGCCCCCATTCATCGTTCCCTCTATTGCAACCAGTCGACCTGTCCCTGCAGCTGAAAAACATCTCCACAGCATGATGCTGCCACCTCCGTGCTTCACTGTGGGACTGTATTGTACAGTGATGGGCAGTGCCTGGTTGTCTCCACACACACCGCTTAGATTTAAGGCCAAAAAGTTCCATCTTGGTCTCATCAGACCAGAGAATCTTATTTCTCACCATCTCAGGGTTCCTCAGGTGTTTTTTAGCAAACTCCACATGGGCTTTCATGTGTCTTGCACTGAGGAGAGGCTTCTGACAGGTCACTCTGCCATAAAGCCCTGGCTGGTGGAGGGCTGCAGTGATGGTTGACTTTCTACAACTTTCTCCCATCTCCTGACTGCATCTCTGGAGCTCAGCCACAGTGATCTTTGGGTTCTTCACCTCTCTCACCGAGGCTCTTCTCCCCCGGTAGCTCAGTTTGGTCAGACAGCCTGGTCTAGGAAAGGTTCTGGTTGTCCCAAATGTCTTCCATTTAAGGATCATGGAAGCCACTGTGCTCTGAGGAACCTTAACTAATTTTTAATGACATTGATGATTGAAGTAGTCATTTTAAATCCAACCGCTTGCTTTTTTAATTGGGCGGGCATGGGAACGAGCCCCCGCACCATGAGAATAAACATCACGTCTCTAAAGCTGATCTTCATCTGCTCATGTCACACGTCATGTGATCAGGAAGCAGAAAATTCATGAATTAGATCATTTTGAGATGCTGCTGTGAAGAAAGCAAGGCGCCAACTGGAAAAGCTTCTGCAGCTCCCACTTTGACCACAGGTTGGGAAAGCAAGGATAACTCTTGAAACATGCTTGTTCTTCCTGATGTAAGAAGTGAGATTATTTCTTTTGGCTTTTACATGGTCATAGAGCACAGTGGTCTTTGACTCTTCAAAAAACAGTAAAAACACTTAAAATGCTGGCAGTCAGGGGCTTTTGGATCAGGAAACGGCGGACCAGATCTGTGCCTTTCCACAATTCTGTCTCACAATTCATGTCCTCTGACCTCATCGTCCTCGTTTGCTCTGACCTGCATCATGAGCTGTAAGGTCTTCTATAGACATCTGTGTGGCTTTCCCAATCAGATCCAATCAGGATCACCAAACACAGCTGGACTCCAGTGAAGGTGCAGGACCATCTCAAGGATGAGTAGAAGAAATGGAAAACACCTGAGTTAAATATGAGTGTCACAGCAAAGGGTCTGAACACTCAGGACATGATATTCAGTTTGTCTTTTTTAATCTGCAGAAATGCCTAAAATTCTGTTTTTCTGTAAATATGAGGGAAAATGAATGTAACTGATTTTAGCAGCTGGCTGCATTATAAGAAAGAGTGAAAAATTGATGAGGGTCTGAATTCTTTCTGTAGCCACTGTAATAGATGTGCGTATCATACGTTTGTTCACAATATAGAACATCCTAATTTGCTCTTGATGGAACTTCAGTTGTTTATGAACTTTGCCAAAAAGTCTTATTTTAGTGGAAACATTTTTGTGTGTGTTTTTGTGTGTAAGTGGCACCCTATTTTTAAACGTGTAACTTTTTAGGCTCCCAGTTTTACTTTAGAAGCATTTTTCATTCTTTTCTTTGTCTATCTGTTTTGTCTTCAGGGTCTTCTGGCTCTGGAGGGGGAGCTAACACCCATCCTGGTTCAGATGGTGAAGAGCGCCAACATGAACGGGCTTCTGGACAGCGACTCTCTGACTGACTGCCAACAGAAGGTGAAGGCCAGGTTACATGATATCATGCAGAAAGACCAAGACTTTACACAAGAAGACTATCAGAAGGTAAGTGCCAAGCTCTGGCTCAGAAAAGAAAATACTCAGCATTTTATAAGACTAGTGAAATCTGTTACATGTGTTTTATTAGAGGAAATTTTGATGGATTTGAACCTTTTTTCTCTGTGAGTAACTTAAGGCCGCAGCTATCAAAGTTTTACAAAAAGGAGTCTGTCAGTTTGTTCAAGAGAACCTGGCAGAAAAATGCTGCATGGAGCTCCATTACCTTTCAGAAGTTATTGTTTGACCTCAGACGTTATGTGACCAAAAGTAATGTTGCCTTCTTTTCCACAAATCTTTATTGAAATTTACAAAAATAAAAAACATTTACAAACATATTCTAAAAAGGGAAAGAGCATCAAAAAGAAGTTAATGGGTTTTTTTTTCTACATTCAAATTGGGTCAAATGTTTCTCACTTTTGCAGCCGATGGACGCTTTTACATTCTAGTTTACGGAGCAAAAACACTTTGAAACATTAACATAATACCTACCTGTTCCTCAGTAAGAATAACAGACATATGACATAGTTCAGGGGTCGGCAACCCGCGGCTCTTTCATACATCTGTTGCAGCTCTCTGTGCTTGTAAAATAATGAATGAGCATTTAATTAAAGTGTATTTCAATTCATAGCATTAATTTTTCATCTGTATTCCAATTCTAAATGTGTAAAGCTGAACAGGTCTAACCCGTATTTTATTAATAAAGCACATTTAAAACACAGCATGTCAGCTGACCAAGTGCTGTACAAGGAGAAAAACGCTGAGGGTCAAACACAGCAAGAACAGCAATAAAACAGGAAAACATCAGCAATGGGAGAAGGGGGGCAGCAGCAAACATGAAAGTCCGCTCACCCCACGATTTATATCTCATAGATGGTACACAGAGCAGCAGACGGTCAGCTGACCACAGGAGAAGAATGGGATTGATTACGAGGATCCATAAGAATGACTTCTGTCTTAAACTCATTTAACTTCACAAAATTGTCCGCCAACCAACACCTGACCTCGGCTAAGCATTTATCAAGGAGCGAGAGGGCATTCAAGTCATTCATGGTCAGGTAGATTTGACAATCATCTGCATAAATATGGTAACCAAGGCCATATTTCTCCAGGATTTTGCATAAAGGGAGGATATAAAATGAAAACAGAAGAGGCCCAAGAACAGAACCATGCAGTACTCCCCAAGGAAGTGGGAGACATGGAGGTGAGGAATCATTAATCTGAATCCTGGAAGTTCTGTCTGATAAGTAAGAGCAGAACCACTCCAAAGCAGTGCCCCTGATACCTACCCACGACTCAAGCCTATTCAATAAAATAGAATGGTGAACAGTGTCGAAGGCAGAGGAAAGGTCATCAAAGTAGCAGAGCAACGGACCCAGAGGCAGAGGCCACCAGGGTATCATTCATCACACGCAACAGAGCAGATTCGGTGCTGTGGAGCGGCCTAAAGCCAGACTGGAACACATCAAAGAGGGAATTACTCTCAATATGAGCTGATATTTGCATGTGGACAATCTTCTCAAGGACATTTGATGAGAGAGGTATTTTGGAGATGGGGCGGAGGTATGCAAAGTTGGTTTGATCAATCCAGGTTTGTTTTTTTTTTTTAATCGGCTGCACAACCTCTTTTTTAACCAACAACGGAAATAGTCCAGTGGTTGGACTGGAATTTAACATGCTCAGAAGAACAGGGCTGGGGGAAGAGCATCATCAGGAGAGCCTGATAGTTTCATAGACGCCATCAGGCTCTCCAGATCCTTAAGAGCAATAGGAGCAAACCTGGAAAATGTAGGAGGATCAGCTGCCTCTATAGAATAGGACTAACCGGAAGGTGACAGACTGTCCCTAATATCCTTAATCTTTTGGAGGAAAAAGCCCTGGAGTGCAATGCATAAAGAAGTAGAGGAAGTTAAAATGTCAGGCTCAGATAATGATAGGGTGGTGTTGATGACTCTATAAAGTTTTGACTGATCACCCTGACTCTGTGAGATTTAGGATGAGAAGTAATTATTTTTAGCAGCTCTGGCGGTTTTCTGATATAAATCAAGGGCATCGGCCAAGAGCTGACGTGTAGTCAGTAATCTATCCTTCTTCCACTTTCTCTCCAGAACCCCACAACGCCGCCTAAGGCTACGAGTCTCCTCATTCAGCCAGGGGTCAGAGGTGATCTTTCTGCACCTAGGTCTAAGAGGGGCAACTATATCTAGGGCTGGCAAACACAGAGTTAAACGAAAGTAAAAGGTCGTCTGCATCTTTACAGAACACAGAGGAGAGGGAGGACAATGTGTCAACATCCAAGTTAGACAGTAGAGATGTGGACGTGGCCGGAGAGATATATCTAGCAAAACGGGGAGCCAGCCTTCCAGCTGGAAAGACTAGTGCAGTAATATTAAAAACAACTGCGAGATGGTCCGAGAAACATACCGGGTCAACAACCAGATCATGTACATGTAAACCAAGTGATAAAACCAGCTCCAGAGTATGAGAACGATCATGAGTTGGATCAGTAACATGCTGCTGAAGGCCAAATGAAGCCAAAATATCCGTAAAATCTCTAACGGTTGTGTAGGACAGCAGACATGATATCAAATTCACTCAAGATAATACCTAGATCATATCTAGGGAAATAATCAACTAATACATCAGAAAAGTCCCTTTATGACGCAGAGTTATATTTTGGTGGCTGGTAACAAAGGATAAAGATAATAGGAGGACAAAGTCCAAGTTCAAACACAGAGGCTTTAAAGCTGGAGGAGATCAGCGGGCCAGAGAGAAGTTTAAGGGGGAGAATTGAGAGTAAATAGTCAAAAGTCCTCCTCCTCATCCAGAGAGCCTGGGCTCATTCACATTCTGACTTCGTGACATTCTGAGGTATTTTTGGTAATGCCCTCAAACGTGTCAAAATCTGATTTGCCAAATTTATAAATAGATGTTGATAAAACAGGAATTAATTTCTGATCTAGTCAGTTTCTAGCTGACTCTCGATTCGGCCAAATCGGAGGAAAATCTTTGAAACAACCTTCTCTTTTGACATAAAGTCAAAGCCTCTCTGCAACGCTGCGAGTGATTACAGACAAAACGGCTCTTCTAAAAGCCAATGAACACCCTTAGATGTAAAACAAGCATTCCAGCTTCCTGCCATTACCTGACGATTACTCAGAGGGTCGTATTCCTAGAGGGTCCTCACCATAGGCGGTGTCCATCTCGAACTCCTGACCCTCTGGATCGCTTGGGGATCTTCACACAAGGGTGCGTAGACTCGGCACAGATTGCATCGGATGGTTTTACAAACAAACCTTTAGTTTTTGCTAAAACATCTAGCTTCCACTTCACCATTTCATCCATTACATTAAATCACTTCATATCCATTAAATTACATCACATTCTATCATTCCAAGCATACCTTTTCTTGTAAAATCATTAGTTTAGGGAAATAGAAAAAAATCAAATGTTATGAACTAAACTTGACTCTGTCTGAATTAATATGAAGTGTGTTTATGGTCCCTGAATGAGTAAAATAAACTAGAATCTTCTGATTTAACACTTGGGTAAGACCGACGGGAGCGCTGGCATTGCCATTTACATATCTGTGTTCAAATTCTTGTAGAACTGAAACTATATAAGATAGGGCTGTCGCGGTAACCGCAAAAATGAAATATCGCAATATGAAGAAGCCCACCGCGCTGCAACATGCGCCACCGCGATTACTGAACTTGGTTCAACTCAGTGATGCATGTTGAGAAGGATGGCTGCACTGGTATCAAAACGAAACGTTACTTCGCTCCTTTGGGAGCGCTTTGGTTTTCAGTACGTCAGCTGCTGCGCAGCCAGAGTCCTTGGCCGAGACGGAGCTGCCACCAGCGGCAAAAATAAATAAATAATAAACGCTCGGAGACCTGCTGAAGTCCCGGACAAGCACTGCTTCTGCAACCGTCCCGAAGAGAGTTTGAGCCGAGCTGGAGCTCACTCGCTACCTGCAGGAGGAATGCATCCACCCTAAAGAAACCCCCCTGACATGGTGGAGCAACAACCGGGAGAGATTCCCTTTGCTCGCCAGAGTCGCACGCAAGTACGTGTGCGTAAATGCAACGAGCGCACCATCCGAGAGGGTTTTCAGTGTTGCTGCAAATGTTGCCCCCCCTCTCAGATCCTCTCTCAAAGCGTATATGGTTAACATGCTGGTTTTCCTTGTATGTAACAAGGACGTGACCGAGCTATAAAGCACCGTCATTCGTGTGTGTGAAAGTGAAAGTGAAATGATAGTGCCCCGCCCCCCGGCGCGCGCGCCCGGTACATGTAATTTTTTATGCTTGATTTTAAACAACTAAACAAAATGGGGACTTGTTTCTTATTTGTTAGATGCTGCAGCCAAATTTGCATTTAAAAGTTTAACCTTCTCCTGAATTTTGTTGTTTTTAAGTTCAGTCGGACTCCGACTGTCGGACAAACAAACGTTACTGCGATCTGTGTTGTTACTGCCCTTTGATCTGCATTCAGTAAAGCGTTATAAAAGAAGGCACGGCAATTTTTAACCTTTTTTAAATTTGTAAACATTATGTTTAGATAGTACTGCAATAAAAAAAAGGGCTGCAATAATATCGCACACCGCAATATTAAGCCACCCTGAATCACCGCAGGGGGAATTCCTCAACCGCGACAGCCCTAATATAAGATAGAACAAAAGGTGTTTTTGCATATTAAACCGGAGGAGTTGCACTTAAAGCTCACACACTGAACACGTCCCAGAGCGCTGCGTATTTCCGCTAATGAGTTTGCAAAAAAACAACCAAAATGCGCAAATAAGAAAAGTGTTTTCATTCAGAGACGCTGTATCATCTGATCTGCAGCTCACAGGGCTTCACGCACTAGAATAAACATTATCGCATTGTCAATGTGAACTGTCACATGGTTATCACTCACCCAATCACCTGCTTTGACGTTATTTTCCCACAAATTGTAGTTCATTGTAGTCCCAGTCTTTCGGCTTTTTCTTGTGCTTTTTCGCAATA